CATCTGGCTGGGGACATGGGCGTCTGGGCTACGTGTGTGTGTCTTTGTGTTTATCTGTTGTCCCCCCCTTTTCAAACCACACAGGGCCCCCACACCCCTCAAAATCACCCCCCAGAACCAGCCCTTTGGGAGGTAGAGGGAGGAGAGAAATGGGGATCCTCTGGTCCCTCCAGCCTCCCTATCTCCTCCCCCGCTCCAGTGCCCAGCCTGGGGCCCTGGGGAGGGGATGGGGAACCTGAGGGTGGGGGGAACGGCTGGCAGGGGCCAGGCTGTGCCTGCACCCCGGTAAAGGTGGCCCCTGCTCGCTGCTGGCAGTCCCTGCCCATCCCTGGCACACACAGATGGAGTGTGGGGCTCCAGGAGCTTTCCCTCCAGAGGCGGCCTCCGACCGGAGCCGGGGGTTTGGATTCTCGCTCCTTTCCCTGCCACCTTGTCCCTCGCCGAGAGCAGGGACGCCGCGCTAGGCCTCCAGCCGCAGGGACTGGGGTGGCCCGTGTTAATCTGTTCTGATCCCGAGAACTATTTTAAGGTTGGAGGGTAGCAAAGGACATTCTTAATAAACCAATTTTCAGCATCACCCACCCTCGTGCATCTCATCTGTGTGAGTAAGGTGGGCTGGGGTGGGGCGCTGGAGGGGGCAGCCCGGCGGGGTCTCTGCATGGGTGTGGAGGGGGCAAGGACCAGATACAGAGCCACCGCAGAGCTGGGCGGAGCTCCAGTCCCGCTTGTGAGGGGGGCGGTGCTTGTTCTTCCTCCCACTTCCCAGGGCTCGGTTTGGGTTGGAGCCTGGACTGGGACCCTGCCCCCTGCAATTTCCACCTCAGCCTCCCTCCCCAGCCCGCCTCCCCGCCCGCCTGAACCCTTCCGAGCTTCACCTGCAAACAGGAAAGCAGGACCTGCTGCTGAGTGTGGGCCAGTGGACCTAGCAGGTGCCTGGCACTCAGCAGGCGCTGACTGACGTCCCTCTGACCTAGGCTTCCTTAGTGTGGGAAAAGGACTGATACAGAAACCCACCTTCGTGGGAGCTTCGGGGGGGAAAGCGGGAGCTAGGGTTGGTGCCTCCCACACCCCCACAATACCAGAGAGAGCTCTGGGCCCTTCTTGCTTCCCAGGAGAGCCCCAGACAGCACAGACACGCAGCAGCTGTGACATTTCTTTATTAGATGCCACCTTAGGTCACAGAGAATCTGGGTGGCCATGGGGTGCCCTGGAGCCTCACGCGCCGACCTTCTTCTGAGCCCAGGCAAAGAAGATGCCGCGGACGTCATCCACGCCCGTCCGGAGGCGGGCGGGCATGGTGTAGGTGCGCAGGTCCCGCACCTCGTAGCCGCTGCACACCAGCGCCCTCCTCACCTCCTCCTCGCGCATGGGCACCACCACCAGCCTGGCCGCTCCGGCCAGGTACCACGACTCCTCCAGGGCCCCGATGAGGAGGAGGTGCCCCCCAGGCCTCAGCAGTGTGGTGATGTGGTCCAGAGCCCGCTGGAAGCTGGCAAAGTCAGGGCTCACGGCCTCCAGGCAGAAGGTGGAGACCAGGGCGTCGGCCGGCAGGGGCGCCAGGCCCCCAGCACCCAGGGGCTGGGGCTGGTGCACGTCGATGGGCAGGACCCGCTTCACCTTAGCGCGCAGCTGGCTCTCCCTCTCCTGCCAGGACTCACTGTGCAGGGACAGGAGGTGGCGTCAGGGCCAGGGCTCGGGACTGCCCCAGGCTCAGTCCCTTGTCACCTCCCCCATCAGCCACAGCACGGAGGCCCCCACCCCCGCTGGGCCCTCAGCCCTCAGCCCCCAGCCCGTACCCCTTGCCCTCGATGAGGCAGACGTGCCGGCTGTACACGCTCCAGTCGAAGCAGCCAGGCTCTCCCCGCAGCCAGAGCCCCAGCTCCCGGCGGTTCACCTCCAGGAAGTCGGTCATGGTGATGTCCTCGAAGTGGGCGCAGGCACTGAGCAGCTGGTACACGGTGGGGCCCGAGCCGATGTCGATGAGGGTGCGTCCGGACACCTCGCCTGGACGGGGCAGAGGAAGAGGCCCCGTGTCAGGCCTGTCCCGGCGGCCCCTTGCCTCAGTTGCTCCTCCCTGACCTGCCCGTCTCCTCCCCTCCCCTTTCCTTCTCGCTCTGAGTGTCCGTCTGGAAAAGCACTGCTTCTGGAGTAGGACCGACGAGTCTGAGTCCTGGTTTCAACGTCTACAGGCACCTTGGGAAAGGAATTTAACCCTTTGAGACTCAGGGTCCGCTTCCGTAAAACTACCTACCAGTGAGGGCTAAGCGGGGGGATCCTCAGGTGCCTGGCGGTTTCTCCCAGCTGTCTCGCTTCTCTCCCCGATCTCCCTCTCCCTTTCTTGCTCTGCGTCTCTCCTGACTCCGGCCCTTTACTGCCCTGCCCTCCTGACCCCTCAGTTCCGAGCACGCTCCCCTCCCAGCCCCGTCCACGGGCCTCTCTCCTTCAGCCCTCATCGGAGGGGCGCGGCTCCTCTTCGTCCTCCAGTCTTACCTCGTAACCACCTGCTCCGAGGTCCCTCCCCATCTGGCTTTCTCGTGCGCCCCTTGAGCTCCCCGATGACTTCCTGCCCCCCGTGCCTCAGTTTCCCCGCACTCACCGGTGGCGAAGGTCTGCGCCAGGCAGCGCAGCTTCCAAGGCCCGACGCCGTCAGGGTTGCTCAGGTCCCCCCGCGGGGGCGTGTAGTTGTTGAGCAGGTAGGCGCGGGGCTCGAACCGTTGGTAGGCCAAGGCGATCGCCGCCAGGTCCGGGCGCGCGTCCTGGGCTGCCGCCGCGGCGTGACTGGGGCCCCCGGTGCTCATGGTGCTGCCGCTGCCCACCCTGTGCCCCGCCGGCCTCGCAGCCCGTTTATCTGCGGCCAGACCCCCGCCCGACTCCTCCGCTGCGGGGGCGGTGACTCGGCGCAGAGCCGCCCCGGGCCACGCGCGCCGCGCTTCCCCCTCCCCATCCATCTCCCTCACCGTCCCCGCCGCGGGCGCACGGGGGTGTGGGCGGCGGCCGCGGCGGGAACATCCGTCCCCGCCCCCGCTCGCACTTGCTCCCGCTGCCCTCCACCCTTGGCCTCGCGTGGCCCTTTCCGAGTCCTGCACCTGAGCCTCCCGCCCGCATAACCCCCGGCCGCCCGCGTGGCTCCTCTCCAGCTCCCACAGCCGTGCGCCCCTGTCGCCGGCCTGCCGTCCCTTCTCTTCTGCCGGGGCTCGAACCAGCCCCGTCCGTCCCCGGTCCCCACCGCCCGGCGCTCTCCTGCCCCGGCCCAGCACCCCCCCCCCCGCCCCCGCCCGCTTCTCTTCTCCGGGACACCCCGCCCAGCACCCACCCCTGTCCTCGGTGGGGTCCCCCCCATGCCCCTTCTCCGCCCCTCCCCGAGCATCTTTTTTCGTACTTTCCTACCCCCTCCCGTCCCCCGCGCCCCCCGCCCACCCCACTGCGGAAAGGACAGCCCGTTCTGGCCGCGGTCGCCCCGAGGCCCCAGAGCGGGTCTCGCCACACCCGGCCGATGGCGGCCACGATAGGGAGCGCGCGCGCGGGGCTAATGCACTTAGGGGGCGGACAGCGGGCCCTCGTCTGCCCGCCCTGCGGGCTTCCAGGCGCTTATCTGGGGCCTGCGGGGGCGGAAGGCCGGGGACTTCCCGCCACGTCGGGGGCGCGCGACCCAGGGGAGGATCGGAGGGCGCGGGGCCCTTCTCCGGGCTGCCAGGGCCCGAGGGGGTGCGGCCTCAGTGTTCGGGCGCCAAGGGACTTGGGGTTCGACGGATCTGGGTTTCTGCCCCCACTTGAGCCCCCTGGGGGCGGGGCGCGGGCCGGGCGAGGCCTGCAGGTCGGGCTTGGCTTCCAGATCCCGGGCTGTCCAGGGGCCAGGTCTCCGCTCATCCTCCCAGCGGGAGGGGGGCGCTGCAGGGCCATCTCTGGTCCCCCCGGGTGGGACCCCTCGAGGCAGTCCAGTGCCCCTCCGCCCTGGGCGGGCTACTGCGGGCCAGCGCGCGGCCCCGCCGCCCCCACCCCGTGACGGGGGCTGGCCGCCCGGGCCAGAAGGAATGTGAGTTGTTTGGGGAATGGACCGACTGAAGCTCCCTCCTTATCTCCTTCCGAGAGCGGCTGCTGGTCCTGTGACTGCTCCTTGACCTTTTCCTTCTGCAAGGTGCGCACCAATGTCACGTAGCTCCGGGCCAGCCAGACGTGGGTTTGTGCAGCCTGGACCCCTTCTAACGGCCGAGCCTCGGGCTGCGGGAGGTGCGGGCTCTCCCGCGCAGACTTGGGCCGTGGGTGCGCGCCCCCGCCCCCAGTAATGCAAGTGATAAATGGCAGGTCCCCATCTGCTAGTCCTCTGGGCGGTTTTTGTCAGAACATCGTGAACATTCATGCAGCTCCCCAGTTTGGGGCTTCTGAGCTACAGCTCCCAAGACCGGCCCCTGGCTGGTCCACACACCGCCGCTGGCCATCCACCCACCTTGTTCTAAGGGAGAAGTGTCTCCGTGCTGGGCCAGGCGGCCAGGTCGGAACATGAGTCACCACGACAGCTGCAGGAGTCACAGACAGGAACCTGGTCCCCACCCCACCCACCCTGGGCTCCCAGGAGAGGGAAGGGCGGAGCACCTGCCCCAGCCAAAGACCCCTTTTGCCTGGATGTAGACCTGAGGGCAGGTCAGCCTTGGGGTCACTGACCCCACTGCACACTGAGGCACCGACACGGGCAGTCTTAGTGCCAGCTCCCTCCATACCCTCCAAGAGATCATTGAAACACACCCTGGGTGCCAGCTGGCCTCCTGGGCAGAGCCCAGCGCCAGGGAGCTGGGCAGGGAGGGAGGGCGGGCCTGCACAGCCCCGTCAGGCCGCCGAAAGGGAGCTGGACAGCCAGCCCGTTTGCAGCTCTGCTCCCCCTGAACACGGGGCGTGCCCACTTGCTCTGCCATATTTAGCCCAGCAGCAGGGCCTGTTCCCAGAAGTGGGCACGGGGAGGGGGTGACCCAAGGGGCAGGCCCCCCAACCCCAAGGAGACACGAAACTGGAACACCATTGAGCATTTATTGCAGCGCTAACCGGGTGCTGGGGGCTCCACCTGCCTCTGCCTCTTCATGTCCCCCCCCCCCTCCAGTCTCCTCCAAGCCTCTTCCCAGAGCCTTCCGGACCTCCTGACTCCTCCCCGTGTCCTCCTCTGAGCCGGCTCACCCCTCTCAAGCACCTGTCCCTCACCAGCATCCTTGCCCCTTCTCCTCGGGCTGGGGGTGCTCAGCTGTGCTGGCCCCCAGCTCTCCACGCTGAGCGCCCACTGTCTTCGCTCCCCTTCTTCCTTTGGGAACTCAGGGGACCCAGGCACCCTGGCCTCCGGCTCCCCCTTTGCCTAGCCCCCAACTCTGGGCAAACTACAAAGCATCCACGGCCAGCGGCTCCCCTCCGTGGTGCTAGCCAGGAGGGGCCCAGCCCGGCGTGGGCACGGCCGAGCCTGAGCCAGTCTCTCTCAGCCTCTCTGTGCTTCCTGGGACATGGAGCGGGACAGAGAGCGGCGAAGGGTGCCGGGCTTGCTGACCGACACCACGGGGGGCAGCTGCTTGGTGATCTCGGCCACGTCCTGGCGCTCCGCACACTGGCCACCCAGGGCCGTCTCCAGGGCCAGCAGCTCCCGCAGCTGGGCGGGGGTGTCCTCGCGCTCCTCCTTGGCGGCGCCCATCTTCGTGGGGGTGAAGATGGGCAGGGGCAGCACCCTCTGGTAAGGCAGCAGGTACTCCTGCAGCCCCCGGCCGAGGATGCCCATGCGCATCACCAGCCAGGGGGAGCGCTGCACCAGCGCCTGGCACTGCCCCTGCTGGTGGTAGGTCTCATGCCGCTGCGCGTCCTCCTCGTGCAGGGAGCAACTGGGGGGACAGGGGAGCGGACGCTGAGCTCCTGAGAGCCGCTGCCCTCCAGTCCCTGGCTGGGCGGGCGACCCCCTGGGTGTGGCAGGGGCGACCCCACCTCACCCTCACCCCCAGAAACTTTGTGCTCTGGCCTCCCCAGGCTCAGGGAGGGTGCTGTAAAGGAGGGGAGCAGCGGCCCCCAGCTGGCCAGCACTCACCCCTCCTCAGGCCTCGTGGACAGCGTGAGGTCCTTCCACTCAGCCCAGAAGGCCTCCCGGCGCTCAGAGTTCTCCTCCGACACCTGGCAGCTCAGCTCCGAAGCGGCCATGGTCAGCCTCGCTCCCTGGGCAACGCTCTGTCCAGGCCCTTTAAATAGCCCCCTCCCCCTCTGCCAGGGGCTATTTTCAGCCCCTCGGCGTCAGATGCTATAAGCAGAGCCAAGACTCCGATGGGGGCCTTTGGGTCCAGGGTGGGGGCTGGGTGGGACACCTGGACTCCTGCCGCCCCGAGTAGGCAGGTGGTCGGCTTCTGAAGAGACCAAGGACCTCTGCTGGGGGCAGGGGTCTTCAGAGCGACAGCCCCGAGGGTCTGACACTCCTCAGACACTGTCCGGGGCCAGGCACATGCCCAGCCTCGTGCCACCTTGGCACCTGTTCTCTGTCGCCCTCACCGCCCCACCCGGGAGGACAGTGGCTTATCTGTAAACAGAGCGGGGAAGTGCAGGACCCGAGGCCGCTCTGGGCTCTGTACCAGGCGGTCAGTCCCCCCCATCCCAGCGCTCTCCTCTGCCTGGGTTCAAGGGCACACCCCCGGACTGTCCCCTCTGCAGGAAGGGGCAGCACCACCACATTCTCGGGTGCTCGCACATAAAGGCCCGGCTCTCCACAGCCACCCCCGCTCCGGCAGGGACCCTGGGCTTCCTCCCACACCTGGGAGCCTGGCGTGGGCCTCTGCCGGGTGTTTTCCTTCCCGGGGCCAGTGGTCAGAGAAGTGGTCCCTCAGGTCCAGCCGGTGGGTGTGGGAGTGGCCTCCAGCTCTGCTCCCGACACCCCAAGTGGCGTGAAGTGGGGTGAGGTGGCAACCGAGGGGACCCAGTGAGTGACCAGCAGCAGCAGCTCTGGCCCCGGCCCAAACCAGCCATACGTAGGCGTGACCATGGGGCAGCCCCTGCCCCTTTCTGGGCTTCATTTCCCCCACTTTCGGGTCTCGATGGCCTGACCAGAGCTCCGGGGCCTGCCAGCTCCCACGCCCCACCGGGGCGGGGCCTGGCCCTGGTTCACAGGGAGCAGGGTGGCTGCTCAGCAGGGACAGCCCAGCACCGAAGAGCAGCAATCTTGGTGCAAGAAGCTGACACAGTGAGGTGGGCCCAGCGGGGGGCGGGGGGCCAGAGAGAAGGAACGTGGAACGCTGAGTGGAACAGGAAGGGCGCCAGGGGAGGCAGTGTCAGGAGCTGAGACAGGACCTCGTGGGCCCAGCGGGCACCCACCTGGGGCAGTGCTGCGCGCCCCTAGCTGCTGAAGCACTGCACCTGACTCCTGATTACCTTTCCATCTTGTAATAGCCCTGCGACATGATGAGTCCCATTTTCAGGAAAAAATTAGGAAAAGGGGGCTGAGGTACGGATTTGCCCAGGGTCACACGCCAGCCAGGACCAGGAGGCACCCCTCGCACCCCAGGCAGCCCGGCTCCTGGGGAGCCCTGGCCTCACCCCGCTCCACGCTGCCCCTAGCGAGCGCGACAGGGCAGAGGGACTGTGTGAGTGGGGCAGGGATCCCCGGGACACCTCAGTGAGCAGGAAGCTGACACCCCACCTCCAGGCCCCTGGTCGGACCTGGCACCCCAGAAACAGCCCAGGCCTGCTGTGGCCTCTGCTGGGTCTCTCCTACCTCCTCCCAAATCCTGGCCCGGAGACCCCAACCTGGCCTTCTCTCGCAGGAAGCCGGGCAGGGGGAGTGGAGCATTTCTCCCTAACCAGCCGTCTGCCCAGTGGAACCACTCAGGAAAGTGTGTGTGTGTGTGTCTGTGTGTGTCTGTGTGTCGGGACGGCGGGTGGGGGCAGGACCCGAGTCCCCACCGGCTCCTGGGTGTGAGGACAGGCCAGGTGTCTGGCCTCAGAAGTGGGTGGTGGCTCACTCCTGCCCCGCCTGTGCCGGGCTCGCTCCCCGCCCCTTCCCTCAAGAGGCCAGGCTTGGGGGGCTGCTTTCTGAGTTCATGTTATTCATTGGCTCAAATTACAAAAGTGCCCAAGGAGGCCCCGAGGGAGGGAGAGAAGCTGGGAGAGGCAGAGGGTCATTGCCAGCATCCACCGTGCCCACCTGCCGCCCGCTCCCCCCAGGTCCATGTGGAAAATGGTCCCAGACCCTTTAAATAATCCCCGACAACCGTGACGGGTGAGCGGGTGAGCAGGCAGACGAAGGGGCTCCCACACCTGAACACGGGTGACAGGCTGTCCTGGGCTCCTCCTGCCCAGGGCCCCGGCCCTCCCCCATCAAGTCTGAGGCTCCCGTTCCAGACCCTGCCCCTGGCTCTGCAGGGGACAGCAGATCTCCTCTCCCAGGAGGCAGGGACGCCACGCGCACACGGCGGGGTGGACCCCACTTGCCCCAGCGGCAGAGCCCGCAACCTGCTCAGGGCTGCCGCCCTGGGCACACACAGTGCAGCCTGGCAGCCCGCAGCCGGGGGCTGCCGTGGGGGGTAGCTTCTTCCTCATGCTGCAGGAGGCCGGGTCCTCTGGCGGCGGCCCCCGGGCCCTCCGCTGGCTCTGGAGGCTGTGGTGCTGGAACCCTGGCCTGCAGGGTGGCGAGGGGGCACGGTCACGCCCGGGCTCCCATTTCTCTGACGCGCTGCCGAAGGTGGAAGGCGAACTCGAACATGGTGGCCGCGAGGCTCTGGTGGATGAGGTACCGGGGCAGGCGGCCCTGGGGGAGGCGGGAATTAGCTTCAGGAGGGCTTGCGGCCGGCAGGGGCTCCTCGGTCAACAGCGGGCACCTGGAGGGAGTGCGCTGGGCCCGAGTGCAGGGGCGGCCCTGGAGCGCAGCCCGGGCCACCCTCTCCCCTCACCTTCAGCAGGAGGAACACGCTGTGCCCGGGCCTTGGCATCAGCCACCCGAGCAGACCCGGGAGCAGCGAGGCTGGCAGCCAGCCGCCCCTCCGCAGGGCCTCGGGGGTCAGAGGCACGAACGGAGAGGCACAAGCCCTCCAGTAACTGCGGGCACCAAGACCATGTGGATCCTGCCCCAAATTTGAGGGCGAGAAAGGAGCTGGAGGGTAGGGGAGGCTCTGAATGGGGTAGGGGCCCCCAACATCACCTGGCAGAGCTCCGCGCCCCCCCCCCCAGCCTGCCCTGCAGCCTCGGCGCCCTCACCTTGAGATCTGTATTAAGGACCCAGATGAAGGTGCAGACGCGGGGGTTACTGGCTGACTTGAGCACGACGAAGCCCCCGGGACCGTTCTCTCCCCTACGGAGAGAGAGGCGCCCCTGGGGTGACCCTGGAGCCGGACTCGCCCCCTCCACTCCCGGCCCATCGTGGACACGGGCAGAAGAGAGAAGGGAGCTGCTGGTCTGGCAACTGCTCCCCTGCCTGAGCCGGCCGGGGCAGGTGGGCCAGAGGCTGCAGTCCACGTTGTCCCCACCCGCGCCCCCACGGGAGGCTCAAGTGCACACACACCCAGGGGGCTCACCACCCTCCGGCCCCCAACTCCTCTGTCCAGAGAGTCTAGGCCAACTCTAGCCGTGAGGGGCTGGGCCAGGCAGGCACTTGTCCTCCCTGCCCAACTCGGGGCAGTGCAGTGCCGCTGGCCGCCAGGAGGGGGCGACCTCTCGGGAGGTTTCAGGAGGCTGTGTGGTTCACACCCTGACTCATTTAATTGCCCACAGCTTCACTGAGCATTCTGAAGCCCACTCCGCAGATAAGGAAGCTGGCACCTGGAGAGGAAATGAGCCTGCCTGTCAGCCAGCAAGGCTGGTGGTGCCGAGACCAGAACCCCAGCCTGATACCCAAGGACCAGTGCTCTCTGCAAACCCCAGGAAGGAAGGGAAAGGGTGGGGTATCTGGGAGGAGGCCGTCGGCGACACTGGAGCCTAGGATTAGGCAGATGGAGAGCGGCAGGGCGCCTGGAAAAGGCAGCAGGAGGAATGCAGTTCCTCTTCCTCTGGCAGGACTTTCCGGCGCTCCAGGAGAAAGACGAGGTAGTGAGAAGGGGGAGGGGGGCAGAGGGGAACAGGGACTCGAGTCTCCAGATCAGGTCACGGGGGCTGGCTCTACCCCCCCCCCAGTGCACCCCTGGGGCTGCCCCCCAGCGTGAGTGGCGTGGGTCCAGACATTAGTCCCCGTCTCCAGCACACAGAGCAGCCGATTAGCAGGATTAGGGGTCGGGAAGGGCAAAGCCCAGTGGGACAGGGGACGGAAAGTTGTCTCAGCAGAAGTCCTCAGCTGCACACACTGTGCCCTGCCCTGTCCTCAGCGCCACCTGGGGAGGGGCCGGCGGCATGACCCTGGGCAAGGCCAGACTCACCTGACGTATTTGTGCGTTGGGGGCTTGGCACAGTGGGTGGTGGCGATGCCCGATGACAGGTATTTGTCTTTGCGTCGCTCGATGCGCCGGACATTCACGAAGTCCCTGGGAGGGGGGAGGGTTAGGTCCAGGGGGTGCCAGGCCAGAGACTCGGGGGCAGGAGGCCTGCCTGAGAGAAGGGGCGTGCCACTACTCACCGTGGGGAGACCACACCACCCGCAGCCCCTGCAGACACGTCGTAGGACACGAGGGTGTTGTCTTCCACTCGATGCAGGATCTGCGGGCCGTGGGGGCAGACGTGAGTGCAGCCCACCCCGGGAGAGCCGAGCCCCCGGGAACCCCCCGGGAACCCCATGGCCCAGCCTGCGCCGTGCTCAGGTCCCTTGACTAACAGCCACTGCCATTCATGGGGCCCAGGCTGGGCGCCCTGTCCACTTTCCCCACCCCTCTGGGGGACACTGGTGCCATCACCCATTTTACAGATGGGGAACCTGAGGAACAGAAGAATTCAGTGACGTGACTCAGGTCCCCTGGGGTAACTGGTCATGCTGGGGCATTGCTGCCCCAACCCGCCATGTCCCTTGGTCTCTGTCCCGAGCGATGGCCGGGCCTCCTGGCTGGGCTCACCTGGCAGGCGGTCACTGTCTTGTTCCACAGCACCATCCTCTCGGGCTGCAGGATCACCTCCTGGTACACCAGCTCCGCGGGGCACGGCAGGAAGGCCTGGGGCAGGGCAGGTGGGTCGCTGGGTGGGGCCGGCTGCGCTCGGGCCGCAGCCCGTCCGTCTCAGTGGGGAGAATCCTGCCAGAGGCCCCCTCAGCCCCTCTGTCAGGTCCCAGACGGGGCAGGAGGCTCCGGGGCACC